AAGTGTTCATTAGATATCGACTCCTGAAGGATACCATTCTTAAGATAATCGCCGCCGAAGAACAACCCAATCATACAGACTGTTAAATAAATGACAAAATTTAAGTGTTTTTCACACAAATTACAGTGTATTTTGGAAATGACTTTAATATAGATTACATTCACACTTACAGTATTTGATTGATTTGAAAACTGAAGTGATTTATGAATTGAATTAACTTTTACTTTTAGAAGTGATATATAAGATTGAAAATACTATTATTGACTGAAATATTTGACAATCGAAAGGCATTTGAAGGCTTTTATATTCAGTGCTTTTGCACATCCTTTTGGTGTCCATCGGTTCTCTCACTTCTCGCCTCTTGTACTTCACTACCATTTTCTAATCATTTCATATCAGTATTATGTGATTATAATTATCATAAGAGTATATTTATGTTTTAATTTTATTAGTTTTTGTTAGCTTTTCGGTTCGTTATGTTGTGTTATATTTACGAAACTGTCTAATAAGTGATGAATGGATTGTGAGATTGATTCGCAGCTATTATTCACATATAAAAGAGACTTATTTTATGACAATATATGGATTTTATGTATACATTTCTAAATTTATATGTATTAAATATTTGATATAAAAACTAAATAAATTTATTATAAGTAATTTCAAGATAGTATAATATATTATTTAAAACTAGTATACCGTACCTTTTAGTGAACAAATTGATTGTAGACATTTATCGTTATGTCTCCCATTATACAGGTATATACAGGTATATACGGTATATACCGTATGATTGATCTGTTGGTGATTCTCATCAACACTGTGAACAATATTTGGCAAATGATTTGATACTTAACTGGAGAAACATATTTTATTAACTAATAAATGAAATACACGTTATTTTGCATACAATTACACACTAAAGCTCTCATTAAAAACAATATTATCTCTAAATTTGTAAACTAATGGTCACTCGTATGACAGACACAACTAATGGTGCTCACTGTGGCCGTCCTTCTTATCCTTGAGTATAGTCTCCTCGCAGAGCACAACCACCGCAAACATAGCCAACCCGTACAGCATTCCCGGTGCCATCAGACCCCACGCCCTCCACAGTCTCGTGCCGTGCAGTTTGCGGTCATATCTCCAGACTTCGTTCCTGATGGACAGGTAGACAACCCGACAGACAATCAGTTTTAGCCACACATTACAGCGCCTATAGAGAACAGCCGTACTGTCCATCGCGTGTCTCATACCTAAGCCACGGATCCTTTAGTCCTCTGGCGGCTAACTTCTTCTGGACTTCGAGCAGATGTGGTATACTTTCCACTTTGTATTGTCTATAGTCAGGGATGTGAGCGCCGGGAGGCAAATGAAGGCCAGGGGTCGGCGGTCGCGGTTTCTTCGGACCGGTAGTGCTCTCCGGAAACCCCCACTCCTGACGTTTCAAGAAATCCCATCGACTGGTCGCCTGACCCATGGTTTGCGATGATCACCACAATTGGTCTCAAGAGGTTCGCCTCGAGACAAAAAGCAAATCACAATATGTTTTGTTTACAAATCAGTGTTTTCGCTATATTTGGGTTCATATTGTAATCAAACAAAACGTCCAAACATTTTGTCAAACCTTTGCATACGTTTAGCGTTCAATTGATTCACAAAATACGAGACGTTTCTTATGGCATATGTTTGTCATAAAAAGCAAAACAACAAATTGAAAGCTCTTTTTGTGTCACAATTGTGATCATCACTCGAGCGGATCCAGCAGTGGACAGGTATATCGCGAGTGGGCGCCGGTAGCCATGGGTAACACATCGAGCCTCAAGTCCCATATGTCTAACGCCGAGAGG